TTTACTTGGCCTCAGCTTATCATTTCATCCTGTTGCTCCCCAGTCACTCGGACGTGCTTGCCATTGTCTTCAGACCACTGGACTTACTCTCCTTGGCCGAGCACCTGTGTTCATTCTGTTACCTCTGCTTAGAGTTCTCTCCACCCCTGTTAGATATTAAGATTATGTTCATGCTTCAGACCTCAGCTCAGGTGCCACCCCCACAAAGCTTCCCTTCTTCCCTCAGCCGAAAATCATCCGTGTATCCTTTCAGAACAAGCCAGTGTGCAAATTAGTGCAATTCTAGAAAAGAATTTGGAGATAACCTCAGAGCTACAAGTAGAACTTACCATTGGATCCAACAGTAGCACTGACATCTACCCAAAGGAGCAAAAGTCGTTCTATAAAAAAGACATCTGCACCTAAATGTTTATGGCAGCACAATTAACTATAGCAAGGACGTGCAAACAACCCAAGTGCCCATCAGTTCATGAGTGGATTAATAAAATATGGTATATATATATATATACACACACACAATGGACTACTACTCAATCATAAGAAATGATGATCTAGTTTATCCTGGATAGAGCTTATCCCATCCTCTGAAGTGAGTATCACAAGAATGGAAGGCTCCCCGTGTACTTGCCATCAGACTGGCACCGACTGATCAACACTAAGGTGCTCACACAGCAGTAATATTCTTTGTGGGTAGGGGCTTGGGGGTGGGTAAACTCACCACTAATGGACGCAGTGAGCCTTGTGGGCAGGAGAACGACACGTCTCAAATGATGGTTGCAATATGGCAAAGTCCTAACATGCAACCAAAATGTTTGTACCCCCATAATTTCCTGAAATAAAAAAATTAGAACAAGCCGGTGAGCACCTGCTGCTCACCCAGTATCCACCCTTCAGATCTTGCAGTGCAAGAGGAAACGCAGACTTTAATGAGGCACAATCAAGTGTTGCAAGAGCTTTAAATAAAAGTACGTGAAGGGCACAGTGGAGGCGAGGTAGAAAATACTGTAGTTTCTGCGTGGCAAGCAGGGCGTCGCGGAAGGTCTCGGAGCAGAGGCGCGCGGCGGGCTGCACAGGCGAGGCGGGAGGGGAGGGAGGGGCTCTCGAGGAGGCCCGGTGAGCAGAGCAGCAGCAGGAACGAAGACGCGGAGGCCTGAGGCAGTTTCCTGAACACGGACCTGCAGGTGCTTTGTTCCGGTCGCTGCAGGGAGGGCGTGGGGAAGGCATGAGGAGTCTAGGGCTAAACACGAGGCGGGGAGGTGCGCGGGGCCGAGGGTCAGAGGCCCGCATCACACCGGGCTCAGGGTAACGTCTGGAGGGCAGTCGAGACGCGTGAGGTTGAAGTGCAGTTGACCTGGTGGCCAGGCCGTGCCAGGGAGGCTGGGAGAACGTCCGGGGCGTGGAGATGACGTGGCAGAACACAGACGAGACTCGAGCAGTCTGGGAACAGCAGAGCTTGGTTGGTGAGTGTTGGGCAAGTGGGGAAGAAGTGTGCCGAGGTGGCCTGCACGGATGTCAGGTTTCTGGCTTGAGAAATTGAAGGAAATAAGATTTCAGTTTTAGACATGTTTAAGATGAGTATTTTGGGGCAGACCAGCTCCGAGGGCAGTTGGAGATGCCTGCAAGGAGGTCTGGGCCGAAGATGCAGATTCGTGTTCCTGGACGTTTGGGCTGTCACGAAGTCCTGGGCCTTGATGTCGTTTAGGACGAGACGGTCGAGTGACAGGGAAGAGAGGCAAGGAAAGGGAAACTTGGGGGCCACACCGGCATTTGAAAGGTTGTCAAAGGAAGATAAACCGACAGAGGAAGCTAGGAAGGACACGTGAGAGAAACTGAAGTCTGGGCTGGAACTGAACCGCATGAATCCAGGAGGAGAGGACCGACTGGGACGAAAGGGACGGGACGTGGTCTCCGTCGGCTCCCGGCACAGCCACGCTGCAGCGCGGAATGCGAGACCTGCACGGACAGGAGCTTGTGCGTGTGCTTCTGGCCCGACGCGGCGTTTTCAGATACGGGCCGCGTCCCTGGGAGGCCGAGACCAACACGGAACAAAGGAGAAGATCACGGCCAGGTCATAAGAGACGCTACACGGGATGACCTCTAAGCAAACGGCACAGTGATCGGGCGAGGGTTGCGGTACGTGGACCGGAGAAGACGACCGAGCTGGGCGGCGTCAGTGATCCAGGCGCAGCGAGCCGGAGCGAAACAGATCGCGGAGAAAGAGGGAGCTACGAGCCCTCGTTTGGGCGGCTACATCTAATCGTTTACCTGTATCCACGGATCTCTTGAGATGCTCACCATGGTGTAGCTGATCACAGAGCTGCGTGGTCTCCTCACTCTCACGTTTATGTCTTTGTTCCATCTTTGTCCCTCACTCAGCCGTTAGCTGTTGAAGGGCACTGCCATGTGCGTTTTCCTTTATTCCCGCCTCCTAAAAAAGTGTCTTGTGCATAATATTGCATAAGAAACGAATGAATGAAAAGGGAGGAAGAGGGAAAGGAAGGAAGGAAAGAAGGTTCAGGCAGTCAGAAAGGAAAATGAGTCGTTCTGTCACTTCTCATGTGGACAGTAAGCCTTCCTTTGGGGACAGGTTCTTTGTCATCGGATGCCACCTGCATGGTGTTTCTGCAGAGTAGTTCCCTGGTGAGGGGGATGAGTGGGAGTCGCTACCAAAGCATACTTCACTTTTATAGCTTTCTTTCAATATTCTATTCTATAACAAATAATCTATGAAAAATTTTATCAACAGATTGATTCACAAATATAGTGGGTGTGTATATTCTGTATTTCACGTGTGATTCTATACGGTGATAGCCCTGTTAATAATTCGTCTGGAAAAGAAAAATCTTTATGAAAAAGTAAACTTCCTATTTGTTGGAGATTGATCCAGCAACAGCAGAGGGAAAAAGCAAACGCGGCGTAGCCTTGGCTCCGCCCCCTGCCGGGTTGGTGACCAACTGGTCCCCTGCACCCAGCCTGCCCCGAGGGGCTGTCAGGAAACCATTGCTCACTGGGGCTCCCACTGCCTCGCCGTTCACCCGTGTCCCTTATCCTTCTGTTTACCATCAAGTTAGTGTTTCTCATTCTCGTCTTTCACTTTGGAGAGCTAGAGAAGCAGTTGTCTCCAAATAAACTTGCATCACTGTCTCTCTCATCCTGGGTAGTCTTTCCCTGTGCCAGGAGAACCCCAGGGCCAGACGTTCATTATCAGTGGTTGCAGATTTCACCTTATTCTGAAATATTATGCAGAAAAAGTTTTCTGAACCAGCTTGAAGGATGTGGCAGTGTTACGAAGTCAAAAAATCGTTATTGCATCTGCTTGTGTTTTGGTTAAATATAATGAGTTTTTGTGCCACAGTTATCTTTTCCCGCCATCCTTTCTGCTTTATCACTTTTATCTCTAAACAAAATATCTGACAGCATAGCTATCTGACCTGTTAGAACACATCATCTTTTAAAATATGTCATTATATAAGTGCTTTTCCTACTTTTTTTAAACATTGTATATAATCAGAGGTATTTGTTTTTATTTTTTGCTGGTAAAATGCCAACCTCTTTCCCACTTAAATTTCTCTTAAATCACTGTAATAAAATGCCTTGTGTATTGCTATACTCCTTAAGGGTTTCTAATCCTATGCTCTTTGGCAAGGAATAGAAACTAAAATCTTCAGAACCTCTCTGAGTGTAGCATGACTATCCCAACATTAATTTCCAAAGTTGAATCATTAAATTTTATTCCGCTAGATCATACAATTTGAAGGGATTAGAACTAAAAGAACTCCTTCTAAGTAGTCACCTACTCCAGTCTCCCTCTTTATAGATGAATAAACAAACCTCCAGAAACAGTGACTGACTTAAGGACACAGGATAACAAAGCTCCTTCAAGAAGACTGGTTTCCACTTCACTATGTTTCCTTAGCAAACTCTGACCCCTCTCATCTGGCTTCTCTACGTTCTTCTTCTTTACAATGGCATTTCTCACTGACATCTGCCTTCTCATAGTACTCCTGCTAACATACTCAGCCCGTATGTTTTATTGCCACTTCTGCTGCTGCTTGTTGAAAGTAAGTTTATGGTAGAAGCTGAGGACTATGAAAGAATTATGGTAATTTGATAATTTCCTAAGTGGTAATATAATGGCAAGAAAGAGTTAATGCAAGTTTTAAAAATGTCTAAGTTATTCCTAAAGACAGACTTACAAAGCAAAAGAATCTGGTTTTTCCTCTTGATCTGGTTTATTATCTATGAAAGAGTATATACAGTGTTGTGATGACACAGTTTCATAAACTGATAAGCAATTAGAATTGAGAATGACTTCCTATATTCTTCTACCCGGTAGGTCTAGGACCATGTAAGGAGGTAATTTTCTTAATTTATTGAGATGTGCTTCTACTAATGTTTTGTGATGTAAATAAGAAAACCCCAACTCTCTCATCTATAAAGTGAGGATATTTAAATACTACTTCACACAGTTGAGGATTGGAATAATACTTGTAACTTCCCTTGCTTTTAATTTTTACTCTTAGAGGAGTGCTGTTTCTGTAAAACCTTTTATATATATTTATATAAAATGGTTCATGATAAATGTATATGATAGCCATCTACCATAATTGCCATTTATGAAAATTTAAGCTTATAATTACGGCTAATGCAGTAAGTTACATATCAAACATATATGTGTGTATCTGCAGTTAACCTGGAGGCTTGTAGTTGAAAATCTGTGCTCTTTAGTGACTGCTATCTTTTGATTAAACTCTAAAAAATAATAGTCTATTATAATGCCTCTTGTAAAATACTGCTTGGCTGACACTAACTCTTAATGCATATACTTCTTAGAACATTTAACTGTTTGCACAGTCATCGGCACCAGTCATAAGTATTTCTAGTAAAGTGAATACTTAGAAATGTACTTTCTTTGTAAATCTGTGGCTGTTCAGAATTTCCTTTATAAACAACTGTGAAAAGCTGTCTCACACAGGCCATGTCGTTTTTCTTCCCTGCAGCTGCGACAGCTGGTTAACATGTGCATCAACCCAGATCCAGAGAAGCGGCCGGACATCACCTACGTCTACGACGTGGCCAAGAGGATGCACGCGTGCACCGCAAGCAGCTAAACGCGCAAGATCACGAAGAACGTGCTAAGAACAAAGTATTTCTGTGCAAATCATACCTCCCATTCATGTCTGGGTGTTAAGATTAATATTTCAGAGCTAATGTGCTTTGAATCCTTAACCAGTTTTCATATAAGCTTCATTTCGTACCAGTCTAAATCACCCTCTTGCAAACCCCACATGACTTTGGAATGATCGGACTGCATGTTAGGAGAGAAAAGGAAACATGATGGATTTAATGGCTAAAGGTGTTTAGAGTTATTTAGAGTTCTCTGCGGGCGACTTGTGTTCAGGTAGACTGTGGGTGCCGACACAGGAGGTGCCCCCTGGCACAGCAGGACGGACCCAGAACCCTGGGGAGCATCTGAGCTTGTGACCTTCCTGTCTTCCAGTAGCTTATGGACATTGACATGGACACAGTTGTGAACTTTTACGATTATTTTTAAAGTAAGCTTGAAGTATGTGTTTTAGTTTTTAGCTTTGTAGTTTCAAATTTAATTCTTACAATAAATGTAGACATTAACTATTTGAGGAACATTTAAAACTCTTAGCTTGCAACTATTAAATGTGAAAAGATTTGGGGACAAAATGTGAGTCAGACACTGAGGAGTTTTTTGTTTTAATATCTTTGGTATTGTCTTTGCATCGAAGTGGTATAAATGAATCCATTTAAAAAGTGGTTAAGGATTTTTCTCGCTGGTGTGATAGTAATTTTTTAAAGTTGCACTTTGCCCAAGGCTTTTTCGTGTGTTTTTATTGTTTGTACATTTGAAAAACATTCTTTGAATAACCTTGCAGTACTATATTTCAGTTTCTTTATAAATTTAAGTGCATTTTAACTCATTATTGTACACTATAATGTAAGCATATATTTTTATTCATAGATTTTATTGAAGTTCTTTCTGATTGGTCCCCTTCAGAAATTTTTTATATTCAAATTACTTTCTTATTTATAGTGTCTGTGCATTTTATCCATTAATGTTTCATATTTCTGAACATAATCCTCTTTTAAAAGATCCTGGGTATATCAATACTTTTCCTGGATTGAAAACATTATTTTAAACTTTTTAAAACGTAGGCCTCCCTGTGTGCATGTGTTTGCTCTCGTTAAAGAGGAAGGACGGACGTGTGTCGTGCTGTGCCTGTGAACGTTGACGCAGTTTCAGTTCTTTGGCAAGGTTGTGATTCTGGAGTATGTTTAATGGAACGAAAACTGGCCATCACTGCAGCCAGAGTTGTTACGAGGCTAACGTTTCTGATGAGAAGGTTCTGAGCAAAGTCCTGTGTTTGTGCACGAAGACGACCGAGATGGCAGCTTCGTTTAGTCTGAGGACGTGGGCAGAGTCTAGCGAGTGCCGTGCAGATGTGTTTTCCCCGAACGCCTCCCTGTCAGTAGCGACCAGTTCCGCACGCACTTGTGACGGCAGAAAGCCAAAGGCGGCCACTGTCAGGGACACGGTCCCACCATGGGACCCTGGGGTGGGTCATCCTGCCAACGCGGAAACCTCGTGTTTAGGGAACTCCCCCCTTTGGCCCCCCTTAGCCCACCTAACTGCTGGTTTTGTTTTTCATACGCTCATTTGAATACTTTCAAGTCATTTGTAAATTTTAAAAATGTATAAAGGACAAACCTGAAGGGTAATTTTATTTTGAAGTAGACAAAGGAAATCTGGTTGTCTGTTATGAGGGATGAATGCATTGTTTCTCCCAGATTCTAGTGATTTTTAACATTTACTGATCCATCCATAGATTTATCTCCAGATATATGAGACTTATTTCTGTTGACCATTAATGTCATGTTCATTTTGACGTAATATAATTGACTTAGATGAAATGTTCTCTGGTTGGAACAGATACTCTCCTTTTTCTTGCAATCTTTGAGAATACATGGATCTAAAATTCATTAGCTTGACCCCTCACACTGACTTTTAAGTAAAGATTTAAGCTTTTCTTCTCAGTGACTATCTGCTAGAAGGAAATAGCTAGGAAAAATTTAATGATCAGGGAAATCATTTTTTACTTGTAGAAACTTTTTGTTTGGGATATTATATCTTTTTTAATCTAAGTGTTCATATTTTTCCTGAGGAAACCACTGTGTAAAACACAAATTTTAACTTTGAATGGGATCATTTCAAAAAATTATGAAAATGATTAGATGTTCTAATTTTTATAATCACCTATATAAGATGTTCTCTTTATTTCTGTTTATAAGTAAACTTTATATTAAGTTAAATGTTTGGATTGATTTGAAGAAGCAGTAAGAAATGAAAGACATATCTGATTCTAAACCTTATTTAGACATCGGTACCTGTTACCCAGGGGCAAATGTGGGGTAACTTTGTTGTGTGTGGTGAGGTTTAGAAATGCTGGATGAAGGGTGTCTCTGTATAAATAAAGTGCTCAACAATGTGCAATGATTGTAAATTTAGTAAGATACTGCAGCCATTTCACGAATGCTCTACCATTCTACATAGTGTCTATTACAAAACACCGCTCTCCTGTCCATATACTTCAGGTGTTGCTGTTAACATTTACCATGATATTTATTTTAGCCAAAATGTTATTCACATTAAATGTTAATTCTTTAAAATGAATGTATTATGTTTATAACCCACAAATGCATAATTACCCTGTGCCTCATATTTCAATAGTACTGTAATATGGACATCTTTTGTGAAATACTTTTATTTTGTTATGCTTTAAATACACATACAAAAAATATTCTGTTATTAGCTTTGAAAATCATACAAATCCTAATATAAATAAAAATATAAAAATAAAAAATGAATATAGTAAAATTTCTATATATCTGATTTTTTCCCCCCTAAAATCTACCATTGTTTATTTCACTTAACATTTCACCTGCAGAAATGGTTCTTAGACATTTCCCTAATTTTGCCATTTTGGAGACACGCAAGCATTGGGAACAGTCAAAGGTGATAACAGAGCTTTGACAGATCCTAAGAAGTTGTCTTTTGAATATGCATTAAACTAAGACACATCTTCACACGTCCTGTTCTCTTCAGAGCATGATTTTCTGTTTTTAAGTAAGAAAAGTTTACTAAAAGGTTTTTAAAAAAATATCTATCTTCCTGCTTTGAATCTTTAGAGCCCGAAATTTAGGCAATAGATTCAATTTCTGTCACTGTAAGGAGCTGCTACCAGTGTTGCTGATCGTTTATATACTGAATGTCCTTTTCACATGATAAATGAAGATCCCCACCATGCCTGGAAAGGTTGAGTCTAAGAGATCCTAGCAGGATAGAACCTACCAGACTGGGGGCAGAACGAATGGGTGGACCTTATACACCAAGGTTACATTCCAGATAGGCCATGGTGAAGAATGACCAATTTTATAAACCATGACTTTGTATTAAAGATCCTTTGCTATGATTGTGTGTGTTTGTGTGTATATAAATCATTGTGTAAAGTACTAGTAAATTTTAGCCACAAAACTAGTTATGAATACTATTTCCAGAGTAGTATTTATTGGAAAAGTCAGTACCAGAAATGTTTGAATGTATTAATTGGTACAGCTATAGGTTCCACCAAATTGGTGCAATTACTTTTTAAAATCAAAATGATGATATCGACAAAGAATTGTAATAAGTTATCAAAAGATTTCCATTAAGTTGTTGCACTATTTTTGATTACATGTGAACTTCTAGTTATAAGTACTGATGATTTTTTTTTTTAGAAACTCTGATTATCTTTCACAGAAAGATATGTAAGTTTATTTGATAGATTTGAAGGAATTTTCTTTCTGATTTTATGCACTGATTTCATTGTTTAGTTGGGTGTCTAAATCTAGTTTTAAACCTAAAGAAAAAAAAAAAAATCAAAATAACTCAAAGGAAACTTTCCAGTTAGCATTTGCAAACATGGGGTTTGATGAAATTATTCTGTGTTACAATGCATAGGAAACAATTTTTTTCCACTCTTTTCTAGAAGTATAATGCTGCAAATAAGTCATTTCTCTAATCCCCACTTTCTCATGTGTAAAATAGGGATGTAATACCCTAACTCTACAGAAAAATTAAATTAGAATATATTTAGTAACAGCTGAATACAGCACTACATACCAAATGGGTGCTTGGATAAATGCAGCTATTATCATACGAGTGCACAAGAGAGCATGTGTGGTCATCTCTGACTACACTCCATCCACTTTTGCCTATTTCTTTCCGTTTAGTCCCACTTGCCTGTTTTTTCAAACCTCCCAAGCTCTTTCTTACCTTAGGAACACTGTAGCTTCAATTGCCCTTCCCCTTTTTGCTAAGGAAAAAAAAAAAATCCAACTAATCTTCCAAAGCTGACTTTCATTAAATACATTTTTTTCAGGAGCCCTAGACTATATATCCTTTTATAGTGCTTACGCCAACTATAGCCAAATGATTACTTGTGTGATTCTTTAATTTCAGTCTCCCTGCTAGATCCTCAATGCCAGGAGAACAAGTACTACCTGTGTTGTTCACCTGTGGTGTCCAGCTAATGCCTCATCCATGGTAGTCACTCGCTTCATTTTTGTTGAATAAAATAGAGTTACAATGTCGCAAGTGGTATAAATAATGATGATTTAAAAAACTATCTTTCATTGAAAGATGTGCAAATTTATAGTTTGATAGAAATAATTTTATTTCATGGAAATAAGTTATCTTTCATAGAAAGATATACAAGTTTATAAAGTTTATTTTTTTGACAACAAATGAAGGGTTGTACATAGATACAAGAAAAGCAGGAATTAGGAGAGGTAGGGGCAAGGAAAAAGATGAGGGATTGAAAAACAGAGGCTAATCCAAGAGAAATCATTAACATTATCTATTACCATGGGTTACAAAGAAATTGAAGATGAGAACTGAGATCAGGCCCCATGGACTTAATGAGAAACACATCCTACATCTTCAAAGGGGCTATTTCAGGAGACTGGGCTAGAAAACAAATTGAGGTAAAAGTAGTAATGAAAGTATATGGAGAAACGTTAGATAACTAGAAGTAGTAGCAGCTAATTTCTTTTTTTTTAACAAAGTGAATTTAGAATGGTTTGAAGGGGAGAAGACTAGCAAGTTGAGAAGAAACTAAAGATTTTAGAGTAAGAATGCAGAAGTTGGTAAGAAGGAATGAGGTCCACAGAAAGAATTTATCCACTAACTCCAAAATGTTTACCGAGTGTCCGGTGTACTAAACCCACGTAGACGGTATATGAGAAGAGAAAAAAAAAAAAAGGTCTCTGTTTTCAAGGACTTAAAATCAAGTCAGGAAGAAACATATTTAACAGAAATATAAATATTTAAATGCAGCAAATGTTGATGAGAGCTATGGAAGAAGGGAGAGCCTGAGACACTTAAGACCTAAAGGATAAAAAGGTCAGCTGAAGGACAAACAAGGGACAGGATGCCAGGCAGAGGAAGAACACCTGTGAGGGTGTTGAGGCGAGAGGCATCTCGCCGTCCGAGGTTGCTGTGAGCTAGGCTGACGCCACTACACAACCCAGCCTGTGTGACAGAGACCCTGTTTCAAAAGCAAAAAAAAAACAAAAAAAAACACTAAACAAAAGCCCAAAATACAAATGATAAACTAAGAACAACATACAGGGAACTATCCTCAAATTGATAAGTAAAATAGGTAAGTAAAAATTCAAAAGTGGAAAAACGGAGCAAAGAGTATAAGTGAACAATTGCCAGAAGAAATTCAATATATAATAGAAGAAATTGGTCAATACACATGAAAGGTGTTGGCATCTGATGGAGAAGATGCAGGACATCTACTCTTCCGATTGTCGCCGGCACTGTGAACTGTAATTTTTATAAGCAGATTTAGGGGGTACAAGTTGAATTCTATACATATAATGTTATAGTGGTAGAGTCTGGCCTTTTGGTGTACCTGTCGGGTACCTGAGTAGTATACATTGTTCCCCATAGGTATTTTTAAAAAGTAACCTGGCATTTCTTGTTGAATGCACATACTCCTTTTGAAGCAGCTGTTTGGGGGTTCTGTTATACAGAAACAAAAGCAGCAGTTCATAAAGCTCTCTGTATTATCTATGAAGATGTTTATTGCAACATAATATATAGTGAAAAAAGAACTGCCTTTGAATAGGGCATTGATAGAATGGATTATTTTATACCCATGCTATTATTAATAAAAGGTTGGGTTTGGTTTTATGTCTTTTCTTTAAGTCCATGATGCTCTTGTTCCCTAATAATAAGAGTTCCAAACCAATAGTAAGGCGATTCCATTTTTGTAGGGAAGACCCTTTCAGACATCGGCCTAGGCAGAGAATTTTTGAAGGAGGCCCCCAAAGCAATCACAGCAGCAACAAAAATATAAAGGGGATCTGACCAAATTAAAAAGCTTTTGCACAGCCAAGAAAACTATCATTAGAGCTAGTAGACAGCCTACATAATGGGAGAAAATATTTGCTCTCTACACATACGATAAAAGGCTAACTAGAATCTATCTAGAACTTTAAAAAAAATCAACAAGAAAAAAATCAAACAACCCCATCAATAAATGCACAAAGGACATGAACAGAAAGTTTTCAAAAGACGACAGAATAATGGCCAGCAAACATATAAAAAAAATGCTCAACATCTCTAATCATTAGAGAAATGCAAATCAAAATCACAATCACCTAATTCCAGTGAGAATGGCCTTTATCAAAAAATCCCAAAACAGCAAATGCTGGCGAGGAAGTGGCGAGAGAGGAACACTCTTACACTGCTGGTGGGACTGCAAATTAGTGCAGCCTCCGTGGAAAAGAATTTGGAGATACTTCAAAGAGCCACAAGTAGAACTACCATTTGATCCAGCAATAGCACTATTAGGCATCTACCCAAAGGAACAAAAGGACATTCTATAAGAAAGACATGTGCACCTAAACGTTTATGGCAGCACAATTCTCTATAGCAAGGGTGTGGAAACAACCCCAGTGCCCGTCAATCCGTGAGTGGATTATTAAAATGTGGCATATGTGTACAACGGAATACTACTCAATTATAAGAAATGACAGTGATCTAGCACCTCTTATGTTTTCCTGCACAGAGCTCGAGCCTATCCTACAAAGTGAGGTATCACAAGAATGGAAGAATAGTCACCACACGTGCTCGCCATCAAATCGGCCCTGACCGATCAACACTAAGGCGCTCACACGGCAGTGACATTCTCCGGGGATTAGGGGGTGGGTAAACTCACAACTAACGGACGTGGTGGACATCGTGGGAGGAAAGGGCATGCCCCAAATCATGGTTGGGATGTGGCAAAATCATAACACGTAACCAAAATGTTTGTACCCCCATAATTTCCTGAATACATAAAAATAAAAAAAAAAATAAAACTAAGTATGTGATGTTTGGATATTTTCATATTAACAAGGAGGAAGGTGGGGACAACCTAAGCTGCTACCATTGATCGCCTTAAGAGGATAAATGACAAAAAGGGTGGCCAATATAGTTCTTCCTTGTACAACTCTAATTTTTTTTTTTTTTTTTGGTTTGGTACAAAAAAAACCAAAAAAAACACGAATTTTTTTCCTAATTAAAATAACTTGGTATTTTTACCTTTGAGTCTTTGCCTTCAAATTTTTTTCTTCATTTGAAAAATTCCAAACTTACAGAAAAATTGCAAGACTATCACAAAGAACTCTTATGAATTTTTTACCGAGGCTCACCAGATGTTATTATGCAGCACATTTGCTTTGTCATCGCCACTTTGTTTACACGTTCTTTCTGGGCCGATGGAGAGCAAATTGCAAACACGGTGCCGGGTACCTCGACGTGTTTTAGTTTTTCCTAAAAGACAA